GGCAACAGCCATTTTAGGATAGTTTGTGGTTTGATCTTAGTGACTTAGGAGTCCTCTTCACTACTCCTAACCTTTCACAGATTTAGGAGCTAGTTTTAGTGCTAAAACTCTTTGTGAAATACTCTTAGAGCAAAAATTTCCTAAAATTTTTAATTGTAGAAATGTTTAACATTTCTAAATTTAGAGTCCTAAATTTAGAATTGACACGCCCATTATTTAACGCTGTTAAGATTTTCTCCTACTTTTAGCTTTAAGATGTTTTGTGAATACAGGCCCAGATTTACATTTATTTGTTGGAAATGTATTTATGTGGTCAAGTATAAATAGAAACCCCAATCAGATAGCAATCAACAAAATAAACAGGCCAAAAGAGCGGCCTTTGAACAACAAAACTTTCCTCTAGAAGCGATCTCAATACAAGCCAGCACGTTGGCTCACACTCACACATCTTGCTTTTGCTCTAAACATTTAAGGCCATCAAGCTGCTGAACCCTGAACACGGTGCGTAACTTACGATAGCGTAAACACAAATAAGTGTGAATGTTCCGACCTCGCTCGGGTGCTCCAAGACCATTGTGAGCCGTACTCTGAGCTGTTCAGTTGGAAATATGACTCACAGACCTTTTTACTGATACCCCAAACTCAGCACTATCCAAACCCACAGAGAGAACATAACAAAACTGGCCCTGCTTCAGTATGCAGGCATCATCAACCGCTTCTGAAACACTTCAATGCAGCCAAAATCTGCTGTTTACGTTAGCGTTATTGTTCTGAAAATGGGCTTGGATGTGTAAATACTCGTGAGCAACCATTTCGAAGGTAGATTTGCGCTTATTTTAAACAATTATGCAAGATGTGTGGGTGTATGGTAACTATCCGAACCATTTTGAGAATGGAAATGTCGCTCTAGCTCGTTTAGAAGCCATTTCTCAAATTCAGCATGCTAACAAAATACAATAGGCATGGTAGCAGTAAACAAGTTATTATGATACAATGTGATAACAGGCAGATTAATTGACAGTAATATTAATCTAACAGTTACATTAAAATGTTTTCTTATTAAAGATGAAAATGAGTTTTTGTTGTCTTGTCACATCAAAATCTACTTACATATTTGTTTTGGAAATGGTGCTTGATTTGTGCATATTTCTCACCTGATTCAGACGACTTTCACTGAAGAAAGCAATATCGTAATAAGAGGATTCGTATTTTACCCAGAAGCAATGGTTTGAAGTTAAAAACGTCTTAATGATAGATTTGTTTCTTAATGACGTTAAATTATTAGTTGTGTGGATTACTTGTGTTTTTATCAGCTGTTTAGACTCTCATTCTGATGGCACCCATTCACCAGAGGATCCATTGCTGAGGAAGTTTAAGATTCTCCAGATCTGTTCTGATGATAAAAACAAACTCATCCACATCTTGGATGGCCTGAGGGTGAGTAAATAATTTTTGAATGAACTATTCCTATAAATCTGTATGACTGACTTTATTCTGTGAAACACAAAAGAAGACATTTAAAAAATAATGTTTTAACGGTTTTGTTCATATAACCAATGGGAGCGACAATGGACCCCATTGACTTTCACTGCAAGAAAAGAAAAACTATACTGTACGTTTTCAACTTTGGGTGAACTATCCCACTACCTATTTTTATAATCAAGTTTACACAGCCTGTGAAGAAAATCATCAGATTTAAAGAAATAACTTGACTATGATTACATGACGACTGTTTTAGTGTCTTCAGAATGAGTTCATCGGTTGTGCTCAAGCTGTGAAAAGTGTGCTTAAATTTCACCCGTTGAATTTCACACCGTCTCACTGTTAAGCATCTACCCTTCCTCAGTGCCATCAGAGGAAGTCTGCACTTCCCTCTACCATGAACCATAGAAAAGGAAGTGACCTCACGAAGCTGTAGAGTCTCTCTGTACACTGCATAAACTGCATCTTTTACAGACCTACAGACGAGCTGAAGGCTATGAAATCGAAATTAAAACCAGAAATTTTCATTTGTTTTAAAACAAATGTTTAATGCCTTCATTTGATTTTCAGAAAAATTCAAACAAGAATTTCTGGGGGGTGGGCCCTATTGTTCAAAATGTTGAAATTGAGACTTTTGGACTTATTTTTTCACTGAAATAAATGTTTTTGTAATTACACAGAGAGTAAAGTACCGAAAAAAGGTACCGTTGGGTACCGGCACCGAAATTCAGGTACCGGTAAAATGTGAACGGTACCCAACCCTACTTGCAACAGGGTTATAGAACATGCAAAATATAAAACTACTAACACAAAAACTAATAAAAAACACAAGGGCTTTTGAGACTTTACTTTTAAACATTTCAGCCAACCACATGATTTTCACTAAAGTTCACACCAATATTAGTGGTATTATTGTTACAGTACTGTATAAACAAAAGGAGTGTCCAAAGAGAACTGTACTAATAAAGTACTAAAACCTATCCCACTGTGATTAGAAAGAGTCTTATATATCATGGCTTCCTGGTGCTAACAAGATGTAGTGCTACAACGCTAACAAGCTTTCATGGACTCCTCACACCTGAGCTCATGACAATCTGCTGGTGGAGTTCACAGGTTTCCTTCTGCAATACGCCCCTGATGTACTGGTGTCACTGGAGAGAGAGCCACAGAGGGAGTGCACAAGTCATAGAAATACTCTCTCTCACTTTCTCTCCAAATCAACACTAGCATCCTGTTCGTCTGTGACCAATACTCTTCCAGTCAGCAGCACACACACCGACACACAACCTCTCCATCCTCTGACAGTCAGCATTAGTGGCCTGCTGAGTTCAGCTCAACACAAACATACACACTTGTGAACACACACTCAACAATATAGCTCAACAATATAACAAGTGATGTGATGAAAATTCAATATATATTCGCAATGACTTGTTGGCATCAAAACATGTAGAATTCTTTTTTAAAGCACTTTTTGTTTGGAGATACAGCGCCAAATGTACTAAACAGGGCAAATTAGTGTGAGAACCCAATCCCATAAAAGCACAGACGGGAGTGGAAAGTTTTGCGGGTGATCTACTGACAAAGCACAAATTATAGAACACAGATGAAGCCGGCTCATTTACATTAATGACCAATGCATTCAACAAAGAGCAACACAAGTGCAAAATATTAAGACATGCTTTTTTTGGACGTTAAATAATGGCGAAATACTAAAGCAATAAGCCCCAAGAAGCCATGGTTTACAGTGAATTTATAACAGCTAAGGGGCGTTGTTAAGCACGACGTGAAGTGCCTAACAACGTCTCTTAGCTGTTATAAATTCTCTGTAAACCACGGCTTCACGGGGCTTATTGCTTTTATAAAACGGTTATTCCATATATGTAGTAAGGTTTCACAGAATAAAACAGAGCAAATAAAGTGTAATGATATTAATAAAAACAGTATTCTTCCACCAAACAATGTAGTTCCTCAGAAACAGTTGTGGTTCCAACAAAGTGGTTGCCGACCAACACACAGAAGTAAACAAAGGTGTATGTTTGTAGTGTAATTTACAACAGCTTCGAACGCGGCTCAACCAATCAGAATCAAGGACCGGAACTATCCGTTTTATAATAGTAAACTGACTACTGCAAATCTTAGTAAATCACCTTGCATGATTTATTTAAATACTCTCCTCCCATAAATTGTGTCTGAAAGGTAAACTCTCAGTTGTAAAAATAACTGTCCATCACTGCGCCTTAGTAAAAAACGATTAAATTATTAGATTTTTACTGCAATTAACATTTTAAATCTACACTACCGTTCAGAAGTTTGGGCTCTATAAGATTTTTTATTATTTTTGAAAGTCATCTCCAATGCTCACCAAGACTGCTTTTACTTGAACAATATAGTAAAATAGTAATATTGTGAAATACTACTATAATTCAAATAACTGTTTTCTATTTTAAATTGTCATTTATTTCTGTGATGGCAAAGATGAATTTTCAGCAGCCATTACTTGAGTCTTCAGTGTCACATGATCCTTCAGAAATCATTCTAATATGTGACCCTGGACCACAAAACCAGTCATAAGGGTCAATTTTTCAAAATTGAGATTTATGCATCACCTGAAAGCTGAATAAATAAGCTTTCCATTAATTTGTTAGGATAGGACAATATTTGGCCGAGATACAACTATTTGAAAATCTGGAATCTTAGGGGGCAAAAAAAAAAATCTAAATATTGAGAAAATCGCCTTTAAAGTTGTCCAAATGAAGTTCTTAGCAATGCATATTACTAATAAAAAATTAAGTTTTGATATATTTACAGTAGGACATTTACAAAATATCTTCATGGAACATGATCTTTACTTAATATCCTAATGATTTTTGTCATAAAAGAAAAATTGATAATTTTGACCCATACAATGTATTTTTGGCTATTGATATAAATATACCCCCGAGACTTAAGACTGGTTTTGTGCTCCAGGGTCACATATGCTGATTTGCTGCTCAAGAAACATTTCTTATTATTATCAACATTGTAAACATCGCTGATTAATATTTTTGTGGAAACATTGTGCAAACATTTTCTTTCAGGATTCTTCATTGAATAGCAAGTTCAAAAGAACACTATTTATTTGAAATAGCAATCCTTCGTAACATAGTAAAAAAAATTTCAGTAAATAGAACTGTTAATATCTTACTGTACTGACCCCAAACTTTTGAACGGTAGTGTAATTGGTCATATTCCATGTTTGACTGAAAAAATGTTTAAAAACCTTTTCAAAGTACATATTGAGATATGTATTGGATACTGTCAAAAGTGTGAAATTTCAAGATAGAAGTGTTTTTGCTATTTCGCTCAGCCCTAACACTCTATGCGCACTCACTCACACTCTGAAAAAAAGTGTTGATAGCTTGGTTATGCTAAATTAAGGCGAAGAACCGATGACCTGTGGTGAGACTAGGCTGTGAGTCCGTCCACTACCTCCTGCAGGGAAAGGTCAAAAGGGAAATGCTGAGTTCAGCACTTACTCTGACAAAGTTGTCAGGGAAGAGCCCCCTCCGACCATCCAGCTCTCCCTCCCACCAGCCGCCCTCATCCTTCCTGATGTTACTGATGATGTCACCGACAGCGATGGTCAACTCGTCATCGTGCTGGGCCTGGTAATCAAACTCCACAATGGCTTCCACTGAGAGAGAGAGAGGAAAACAAACAGAGCGATTTAGAGGTCATGGTTACATGCAGGAAGCAGGATATACAGTATTACTGTACAAGACTCACACAGACACGTAACTTTCATCACTGAATGAAAATGACAGCACCATCTACACAACATCCATTTATATCGCTTATAAAAATCAAGATATAGTTGTGATCATTACACTTGGTCTTATAGAAAATGCAAACATTTTAAATATGGCTTTTGTGATTCAACATATGCAACCCACAGAGACCCTGTTTTTGGTAACAACAACACTAGGCTGTTATAGGTGGTTGTTAGGGTGTTGCTATGTAAGTATTAAGATGTTTAAAATGTTTTTAGTGTGTTGTTATGCTGCTGTGTGTTCTGGGATGTTTGAATGGCTCTTGGTTGGTCGGTCATTCTAAAGTATTCCGGATGGTTTCTACTGGGTTGCTATGTAATTCCTGGGTGTTGTGGTTGGTTTCTAGGGTGTTGCTATGTGATTCTAAGACATGGCTAGATAATTCCAGGGTGTTATGGGTGGTTGCTAGGGTGTTTTTATGTTTGAAATATTTTAGAATGTTGCTAGGTGAATCTAGGTTGTTCTGGATGGTTTCTAGGATGTTGCTAGGTGATTCTAAGACATGGCTAGATATTCTAGGGTGTTATGGGTGGCTGCCAGGCTGTTTTTATGTTTGGAATATTTTTAGTGTGTTGCTAGGTGATTCTAGGGTGTCCTGGATGGATTCTAGAGTGTTGTTAAGTAATAAAAGCGGTTTCTGGGTGGTTGCTAGGACGTTGCTATGTTGGTACTAAGGTGTTTTTGAGTGTGTTAGTGTGTTACAATGCTGCTATGTGTTCTGGTTTGTTTATAAGGTGTTTCCAGATTATTCTAATGTATTCTGAATGGTTTCTAGGGAATTGATAAGTGATTTTAATGTATTCTGGATTGTTTCTAAGGCATTGCTAGGTGATTATAAGGAGTTTAGGATGGTTGCCAAGGCATTGCTATGTGGGCACTAAAACGTTTGAAAGGTTTTTGTGAGTTGTTATGCTTCTGTGTTCAGAGTTGATTCTAGGGTGTTGTTAGACGACTTTAATGTGTTCTAGATGGTTTATAGATGTTGCTAGTTGATTCTAGAGTGTTCTGGGTGGTTTCTAGTGTGTTGCTAAGTGACTTTAATGTGTTCTAGATGGTTTATAGATGTTGCTAATTGATTCTAGAGAGTTCTGGATGGTTTCTAGGGTGTTGCTAAGTGATGTCCTGGGCGTTTTTATGGCATTTTGAGCAGTTGCTTATTATTTCAAGTCAAAATAGCCCATTCCCAAATCACTATGATATTTTGGTCTCTAGATATGGCTTGGGATATTCTTCGATATAAGTAAGTCTAAGGGAGTTTTTCACCCATTTTATTTGTCCTTGATTGAGAAAATCGCAACTGTAAACACTTTTAATCACAATGATTTATTTTTATTGCAATTTCATTTGTTGCCACTATGGTGTAGAAATTACACATTGCACCCTTTAAGGTTTATGCAAATCCCCAAATGAACAATAGAAATAGTGATGCTTACCACAAAAAAATACTTTATATGTGCTCTGACAATATCATAACTTATTTTAATCATATATTTACAGCAATAAAACATTTACTGAGATAGCAAGAGAAATATATGAGTCCTTCCATAGGGATAAGAGCTAATAGGCCCCTGGAGCATAAGCAGGCATCATGTTTTCGCTGCAGATAGGAGGATTACTCTATGTGAGATAGAGATGTAAGGCAGGAGCGAAAGCAACAAAACAAGGATCCGAGAAATTAAAGTGACAAGATATTTTCCCGTTACAGCTTATAATATTAAAAAGAAGCTTTTTGAACTCTAGTGAACTACACATGTGCTATTTCTGGTAGGAAAGTGCAAGATGAGAATGTCATCCTCACAGCTTTGGATTTAAATTGAATTGTGTGTTTGCATGAGGTCATGACGGTGAGGAGGGGTTACCGTGAGGATGGGGATGAGAGATGGAGATACAACATCACAATGATGCGTTTATGAGTCATCAAGCCATGCCACACAAGACGAGATCACACCCACGCCTCGCTCCAATGCAATGCACACACACACAGCAGGACACTGCAAACATCCTTTGTGACTTCTATATGATGTTTGATCTATATGGCAGCTCTGACTACAGGTTTCATATCGGATACCGACCCACCCGGATTATCACTCCATTTACAAGGGTATCGATAACCTACCATTAGACACTCAAAAATACATTAATGCATGGTCTATAGCAGGGCTGTCCAAACTCGGTCCTGGAGGGCCGGTGTCCTGCAGAGTTTAGCTCCAACCCTAATTAAACACACCTGAACCACCTAACCAAGCTCTTACTAGGCATAGAAACTTCCAGTCAGGTGTGTTGAGGCAAGTTGGAGCTAAACTCTGCAGGACACCGGCCCTCCAGGACCGAGTTTGGACAGCCCTGGTCTATAGGATCCCTCAGATGACCCTGCAGAATATTCTGGAAACTGCTGAGCTGTGCAGGGAGGAAAGCATGAGATCGTATAACAGAAATCGGTCAGCCCGCAGCCATAACAAACACAAAGGTAACAAATACTTCCAAACATCTGGTGGAACACGCCTACGCATATGCACAGACATAAAAAAACCTACAGGCACAAACCCACACACATATAAATACAGAAATGCTACAGTCTGTATTGTTATATGGAGATTTATCATCTCTAATGGCTGATCAGGCCCAGCCAGACTCTCTGCAGACTTTTCTCTCCTTTCCTCCTCCATTGCTTTGTTGGGAAAAGTGTAGAATTCGATTTTAAAAAACTTAAATTAATCAAAAACATAAAATAAACAGGAATGGACAATATACCGGGACAGTACTGGTTAACAGCCAATATGATTGATGATTTTTTTCATATCATATGATTTTGTATTATTTGATTTTTTCATAATATGGTATTTTTTATGTAGGCTATTGTATTGGTCAATACTAAATATTCACTGGCCAATATTTCAAAAGAATCGTTTTCTATGTTTCATAATGTAAATTATAATGTTGGGATGCCTAAACTAACAAAGCTATTAGTTTTCCATTTTAGTATTTATTCAATTTAGGGTGTTACACCAAATACACCAAATAATGATCTTTAAAAAAGCATCATATGACCCCTTTAATAATTTTCAGTATTGGCTAAAAAAAATTAATTTATAAAGGAATTTATATATTACATTTATATGTAACAATAACATTTAATATATAAAATGTAATATGTAAAAAAATATATAAATATATAAAATATACAATTTTAATATCAATTAAATATATAAAATGAATATATAAACATATATTTATATAATAAAACAAACATACAATGATTGGGAAATGCATACAATTGATAAATGATGGACATTCAATTTTTACCGGAAATCAGCTGCGTTCTGTGGAGTTTTGCAGGCATAGATCCTATACATTGGATCATGACCTAAATCACAACTATCCATCCTTGACTTTTCCACAGGCTAGGAACACAATGTTGGATCTTTTATTTTTTAAAAGACTTTATGCTAGACATTGATAACATTCTGAATGATGACCGTCAAGTCGGTCCATCTGTGTTTTTCTTTTGAGCAGTGTCTTTTCTCTCGCTCTCAATCTCTTTGTTGTCTTCCAGCTGTTTGAGTTTCTAAAGATGTGACAAAGCACAGCTGCCATGTTTATGGTGAAACATCTTCCAAAAAAGCCTCCCACCCACACTTACACCCCCGCACTGAGAATACTTGAGTTTGTCTTGAATCTCCGCCACACCCACAAATGTCAACCTCTGTCTGACTTTTCAGCTGGACCTTTCTTCAACTGACCCACACAAACGCATTTACACACAACAACACAAAACCATAAAATAACAAAGCCGTTTCCTGTTGATTCTTGTCTTTCTTCTGCTTTTTTATTGGTCACAAAAGAGACTGGAACAGTATTAGCCAGGATCCAGTTATCATATTACTGATACATCTGATACTGATACATATATTATGATACATCCGGAGTAAGAAATTCAAAATATGGGGACTGCTTTCTGTTAATTGAATTTTAGAAACTATATTCTCAAAAGAGCAACTATATTCTCAAAATAATTACTCAGAATTTGTGTTGATGAATTGATTATATATATTATAATCAATTCATTATAATATTATATTACTATTTGACATCAAGGAAACAGATTATTAAAAAAAACAAATGAAAAATGTATAAAATAAATATATAAATTTTGTGTTATTTGTGTAATTAAAGTAATTGATGTAAAATAATATATTTTTAATAAAATATATATTAATATATTTTGATAATTGAATTTTATCTGTAAGAGGAACTATATTCTCAAAATAATTACTCAGAATTTGTGTTAATTAATTGATTATATTGAACTATTTGACATCAAGGATAACAGATTATTCATTAAAAAATTATATATATATATATATATATATAGCACCAGGCGCGAGTCAAATGAGCGCGGAAACAGTAGGCTTACTGTGCTCGTAGCGCGTGTCGCCGCACGCTGTAGCATGTCATTTCATATCAAAGCACGAAATAAACTAAGTGCATGCAATGTCATGGTCAGTTAAGTCATGAATTTACCAAAAAGGCAATTAAAGTTGTAAAGTTGTAAAATTAATTAAAACTGTGCGTGCATGTATATTTTTTTGAGTCACATTTAAGAACATGTCTCTGAAATGGTTTTCAAAACTGTTCTGGAGCATCCTAGCACCTAGTCTCCTTCATCTAACACACCCGATTCAACTCGTCAGTTCATTAGTAGAGACTTTAAGACCTGAAGTGTGTCAGAAAAGGTAAAGAGTTTTGAGAGAAAATACGATGCATGTCAGATCAGCGTCACGTTCAGCAGCAGCAGCTCCTAAAGAAATAGCAGCCAAAACAACCTACTAACCAGCTGCTGTGATGTCTGTTCATCAAACAAAAA